CCGAAGCTCGTATCAACGTTCTGCCGTGGCCTGCGCAATCGCCAGACCTCAATCCAATTGAGCACGCATGGGACATGCTTCAAAGAAGAGCTGTGCCGAGTATGCATACCGTACATACTCTACAACAATATTTTGACTTGTTACAAAACACATGGGCGGCCATTCCTCAAAGTGATTTTGATGAACACATCTTAAGCATGCCAAATCGCTGTAATTGTGATTCGTGTTAATGGTGGAAATACAGATTATTAATTTTCTTATCTTTACAATAAAAATGAGCAAAATCATCATTTTCGCCATATTTTTGTCATTTAATTGACGCCGTTAATTTGAGTTTTTCCCACAATTTGCAAAAACATCAATTTTAGTTTATTTTAATTAAATATAGGGGTAAGCGGTTAAATAAAACATAAGCATTAAAGTAAGAAGTCGTCCTGGAAGACTGGATTTGGTAAATATTGCTTAAATAATTTTTATTTCAAAAATATTCACTTGATCCCTAGACACTTTTGATGTGTGTATATCGAATTGATTATTTTTCTATCTATAGGACATTATAAAAAACAATGTGCCACAATTTCAACAAATTGTCAATCGATTGCCACTTTTCTCAATCTCTCTCTCAACTCTTTTTAGCTTGCTCTTCAATCATCTTTATCTCTCTATATTTCATATACACGAAAGGTGTATGCTACTACAATTGACCTTGACATTTGTAAATGTACGGAATACGCATTGAATGCTCCATTAACAAGGTATATTATGATTTTAGCCCATTGCGTACAGTGTGTTCAATCTCATTGAGTACGATAGCTTTATTTTTAAACAATGTGGCTTGGATCAAAAGTGAAAATAAGCGAATTTATTATTTACATAATGCACTGTATATAATGTTTTACTAGTCTGGCTAATAATATTGAACAGTAGTAATACATTTGGTTATATGTATATAAAAAAAGACTATTTAAAAAATTCAACTACTTAAGACAACGTAATAATCAAAGAAACAAATACTATAATTTTTATTGAATTGATATTCAATTATTTTTGGTGAAATTACTCCACTAGTTTGTTATAATTATTAATACAAAGATCGAACACTCAGAAAAAATTCCTTAGATCCGGCTGTATTCGAACCGACGTCGTCTAGCATTCCGTGCCAGACGCTATACCACGGAACCAACCAGCGGACTTCACGAATTTTTCTATGTGCTTGTTGTCGTGTCTTTGTATTTGGTTTTTCAATGACTTTTTAGTCGTAGCACCATCTATGAGAAATCTATGAAATAAAATAAAAACTTTAATAGATTTCTCATAGATGGCGCTACGACTAAAAGTTGTTGAAAAACCAAATACAAAGACACGACAACAAGCACTTAGGAAAAATTCTTGAGGTTTTATTATTACTAAAAATAAAACCTAAACTGTAATTTCTCTAAATGTCCAGTAATGAACACCAAAACGAAAAAATCGACACTCACCAATAAGGAACACCCAGTAGTTGACCTTGTCAATAAAGACGTGTTAAATTTTGTCCTAAATCTAAAAAAGACGTCGAACACTGGTTGCTTGTCGGTTAGTTGCGCCACCGCCTTACAATAAATATTTCATAATTACGCAAGTTTAAATAAAGAAATACTCACTGGCAGTGTAAGCCTGTTTGATGACGTGGATCTCGTGGTTGGAAAGAGTGCACATGACTTCAATAAGGACATCTTCGTCTGTGCCTATGCCCGCCGTGGCGTCGTGAAGTTCCTTTGCGTAAAACTGTGGCAATGGAGTCATCAACGCCACCACCAGGTCTTCGAATTTGCCGGTAGTCTCGCTTTTTAGGTCTGATATCAGGTCCTAAAGAAAAAATGCATAGTCAAGTCCACGAAATTAGTAGTTTCGTTTTGATAAAGAACTGAATTGGTGAATGACACATTCAATTCGTAAATCTTTAGCGAACGCGGATAGCCGCAATATAGAATAATATCCTGTCTAGAAGACACTGTCACCTCAGAGTACCTGCAATGGCGTCTGACATATCGTCCCTGACTAAGGGACGTAACTTCTAACCTTGAGCTGCAGCTCGAGGCCAATCTCGTTCTATCAATTATTTATGTTAATTTATAAAAAAAAACAGACGTACGGCGATTAACGGATTACCTTTTGAAACTTTAATAATATATCGGCCGTCTTGCTCAGTGACTACAAAAATTCTATTTAGTGAGGACGTGGACATTGTATAAAACAAGTAGGTGTAATTCCATACAAATGTAGCAGAGCGGCTTGTATGCGTGTACGCACGTCGCGCGCCGTGTACGGACGCACACATTCGCATAATCTCGTGGTGCACTGGAGTTACACAGCGCGGGGTTGCACGCAACAATCGTTGTAGAATTGAAGCGGTCACTCGATGTTTAAAATAAATTTTATTTTTTTTTTAATTAAAAATTTATTGTTATTACACAAACTCGCTTTTCATTTCTATTTCATAATCATACTCCCATAATCGAGATTTTAACCCGCAATACTGGTATAAAAATATCAAAACGTAGCACTGCAATTGACAAAGGTTATTTCAATATTATAGTTCCAATTATTTTTTGCAATAATCAGTACTGTGACAACGTAGTAAACGTACTCCAACTGGATATATAGTATTCATTCATGATATATTATGGTTTTAACACCTATGTGTAATATTTACAAAACAACTCTGCACATTGGTGATAATCAAACCATGTAAAATCTGTACCATTTTTTCATTCAATTTCAATTATTAAAGTAGTTATCGAATTTATTGCGAGTTGACACCGCGTTGTGCCATTAGTAGAAAAAAAAAAATATTTGTCACTTTAAGGACAAGCATACAGTAGTATGCTCAAAACTGCCTATTGCTAAGGACCTAAAAGCATATGCACTCGAATAAAAATTTGAACATCATTTTGTGTTCTTACCCTTAAAAAGTTAGCGCGTCTAGACTTCTATTGATTTTGTTACATATCAAACCAGGCAAGGAAAGCAATCCAGTTCGACACTACTGGTCGGCGAATCGTTGCTATATTGTCATATGCCTGAGACAAATAATAGAGCCAAATAAATCTCCATTCTCAAAACGGGCCGTCTTGATAATCATAGTCATACTTAAGGCTGGTTTCACAGCAGTGCGGATTTTTTTTTAATGAAATGCGGTAGCACCTCCTGGACAGCATCAACGCTCCCCAATAGATTCCGAAGCCCCTACCGACCCCGTAAGACTCGTCAGCGCCCACTGGGGGGCGGCAGAGACCACTTCGAGAAACTATGTCGTACATGAACACAGTACAGTTTAATAAAAATCGATGACGAAGAGACAAAAAGAAAGTGTATACGGCGCAGGTATGTAAGTCGAATATATTGGGCGCGTGCCAAACAATGTGTATTCAGAGAACTGCAAAATTACAGCTATTGTTTGAACGCAAAAATATTTATTCCTTTATCAGTCGCTAGCGGGAAAATCTGATGGCGATTGTATGGTTGTATGTTGGTTTATGTTTATGCAGTACCTATATACATATATGTATATATACGTATATGCAACGTACGCGATATCATGCAAGGCATTGGGGTTGGGCTATCGTTATTCGGTAGCACTAGGTAATTAATTGAAAAAAAATAATTATGTGCGCGCAAATACTAAATAATTCACTGTATTGGCCTGTAATAGCAAGCTAGCATACTATTTGCTTTCTGCTTGACATTCTTGTAACAAAATGTATACCAACATTTGAAACGTGTAACGTCTCGAGATTTTTTTCCCCATTGAATTATGGGCGGGAAATCGTTTATAAAACAGCTGAAGAGTGACGAATATGATGATTCTGTTGTTATTCACTGGTACCTAACTAAAAATCAGCAACTAAAAAAAGATCTTGGAAAGATAGCTCTGCCTACTTCGGTTCAATGACCTCAAACGTGTTTAATATGGATATGACTGTGGGTTTCCGGGATTTAAGCATTGCAAAATTTATTTGCAAGTATTGTTCTAGTGCCTGTACAATATTGTCATGTACGCTCAGTAATGCATAGTCAGTCAGCTTCGTTTTGTCGCTACTTGAAAAATCAATAAATTTCTTTTTAATATTCTTTATTCATTAAACGGTACACTTATAAGAAAAGCTTTGCATTCATTGAACCAAAAATATAAAATATAATAAAACGTATTTGTAACGAATTAAAGTATTGTGGCAAATACAAACACGATTTCTCTGTACGGCAAACAGAAACTTGACCAAGTCAGAGCTGCCATATTGTGCACAACATGAAAAAGAATTAGGAAAAAAAATCTGAATTTATAAAAAACAATATAATTTATAATGAAAACCATATAAACCAAATAAACATGGACTAAACAGTTTCGAGTTATAAATTCGCATATTCTAATTCCAAAATATATTATTTACACAAAATAAAGAAGTAATTAATTATATTATTTTTTAATCCCAGAAATACCGGGAATGGCTCTATCAACATTTTTGCTTTTACAAAATGCTACAAATAAGGCTAGGTAGTAGACGTTTGTGCAATTAGCATATTTTAAATAGAAAACCACCGTGAGACTCAGACATAGTAACTAAAAATAACGAATAACTCACGTATTTAAGTCGAATTTTTGCTCGACATGTTTTGAACCAATTCGTGGTCCTTAATCATGCGAATCCGCGGCGGTGACTCGACGGAAATTGCGCGCCAAAGCCCTGGCAGCCCGATCAATTTTTAATAATTTATTATTTTTATTTTTATTAAAGTCATATACAGGATTGCAATTCTGCATAATATGACTTTAATAAAAATTAAGCTAACGAGGGTAGATTCTCGCCGACGCTGCCTGCGCCCGCTGCCGTACCACGAATTGGTTCGAAACATGTCGAGCAAAAATTCGACTTACATATCCGTTATTTGTAGTTAATTAGCTTATTATTAAGTATTTATATTGACATAATGTGCGACTCTCGTCTTGTATACATATTTACCTGTTGTGTTGTGTTGTGATGCATTATATTATTTATGGTATTGGTAGTTTGTTGTGCGCAATAATTCTAGTTCAACTAAAAACTTTGCTAGTGCTTTAGGGTCTTGAAGATGAGAAAGAAATACGCCATACAAATTAGGATTTCATTAGGAATGTGTAAGGTGCGTTTCTGATCCGCATTGTCGACAATTACCTTACTCCATTAAACGCTGTATGAATTTAAACTATAAAATGTGCAAAGGCAAGTGTACTGTAGTACAGTTACAAGAACGCAAGTGTGCCAGGAGTATTCATGTAAGAACGCAAACAAAAGAACACTTATAAAGATACTGGCCTCAAATGAAAATTATCGTTGAAGCACGACATCGCATAGCTAGTATTATTGCCTAGTAGATACTGATATGATTGTTATTGTCTTAAATAAATTGCAGATTAAAAGTCCAATGAAACGTACTAAATTTTTTAAAGCAGCACCTATTCAAGCTATTACAACTGTTCAGTGCAACTGTGCTTCTTAGTCCAACAACTGCGCCAGCGTTATGTATAGTGATAGTCCGGGCCTAAAGGCCCATTTAGATGGAGAGAGTTTCTCGTCTCGAAGATGCGATTATCGAAAGAATATAAAAAAACTTTCCTCGTCTAAACATTCGCGATTATCGACCGTCCACGTGAGCGATAATCTCCTCGCCTTTCAATATTGAACGTCTCCGTGTAAACAGAACTCGAAAGTAAAAATCGTATTTCGAGTTTCTGTGCCAGCCGTTTCTACCACGAGTGCAGTGCGCGAGAGTGTTTTGATTATCACTGCTTTTCTAAGACAAGAATTAATGGAACGAGAGCGAAAAAAAAAATTTCAAATAACTGTGAGTGAGTGAGTGCCTCTGTGGTCGAATATAGCGTGGGCAATATAGTATTTAGGGTGCTCTCGTAACGAATATGGCACTCCTTTCTAAATCCAGGATGAAAAGTCGTGCCCGCACTTTTCAAATAATGGCAAGTTGGGTAGGTATCGTTTTTGAGGTATTTGGGGGTGCTCATTACGAACATAGCATTTATTTCTAAATCCAAGATGCCCGACACGACTTTTCAAGTAAATATACTTTTCAATAAACACTCCTCACTAACTCCCCACTCACTCCCTACTCATCTCTATCTATCTCGCTTCACAAACTACCGTATCTTACATTTTTGTCATATCTGAGTAAGATATGCTAAGCTTTCAAAAGCAAACATTCTCTACTAATCGCCGTATGTCTTTTGAATATAATCCATTCATTATAGGAGATTGGCACGAGCAAGAGTTGAAGTGCTAAACCAGAAATTCATTCAGATTCAGAATTCAGAAAGTTGTTATTCCGCAAAAATAAACTTACCTTTCCATAAAGAGTCTTGAATTCGAAAGCAATACGCAGACGCTGCTCATTGCTTCTCCTCGTCAGGACCTGGATGATGGCTTTCTCATCAGTCCCAAATCCTTTCATCGCCTTGCGTAGCACGGCCGCATCCTCACGAGGGTCGAAGGGATTCGCCGGCACAACCGTAGGCTTGGACTGGAAAGATAGTTACTTATCATTGGTGTTCGTGCGAACACAAATTCAGTTTAGGTTAGTATGTCTGTTGAGTCAGAAAAAAAATCTAATCAGTTTTTTTTTTGTGATATATCGCAACATAACCTAGTGCAGTAAACAAATAAATCACGAAGATAAGTTATCTTCTTCAGTGTTTGTTTACTCAGACAAAGGATAAATGAGACACTTAAAAGTGAGAAATATTGAAATGTAAGCTCGCTTTAGTACACTTAAGGAAAATGCACGAACATTTCAGTCACTAATGGCCCGGTAAAACTGGTAACAAAAACAGTTATATTGATATATGAGACAAATACGATAATTGTTTAATTAATATCACAAATACATAATGCGATCATGATGATGTCGGTATCTGGCAATAATTTCGTGCAGGAGGTTGTGACATCTTCTAGTCACGTATACTGTGTGAAATTTAATTAATTGGATATACTAATAATTATGGTAGATTTCAACGGGAACTCCGATAACAATGGCACATGTAAAAAAATAGCTGTTCCTTACAAAATCCTCAAGCCAAATCGACCAAAATTACGTAAATGTTTAATGTGTAAATAGTATTTTTACTATACGGTGAGTCCAAGACAGTAAATACCGTGTAACGAAACGACTTGAAGCCACGCCGAACACCAATTGTTGCTCTATAGGCACTGCGCATACTGGACTTGGATGTTACAGAGGACATATTAATTTATCCTACGAAAAACCTTTCACAAATAAAAAATATCGTCGTCGACATGTAAACAAAACACATTACACAGTTACATCACTATTCTACATTCAATTTCAAATTTTAAAGAACATTCAAAATTGTTTTCTAGATCTGGACACTACATCCATTGTAGTGAGGACCAATGCCAAGACTGAGTGGGTTATTGTGATAAATGTACTGGAGTCTCGGAGTGAACATAACAATGTAATTGCAGCAAAATGTTCCTTGAATAGAGGCAGCGGTTGTAGGTATGGAATGGACTAGGTTAGACTAACGTGAGTATGGATAAAGGTAATGCTTTATTATAAAAGTAATGTACAATTCTAGTATATTTTCGATAGGGCACTAGATCTTAGAAGACTACATCCAAGAAGAGTTTTAAAATGGTACCTGCGGTTTAGCATTAATGGATATTAGCGGAGCGGTGAAACTTGTCTTGCCTGACGAGACGTAATTTTTGAGAGTAAATTGACAGTTTATGTGCTCATGCTAAACTAAACCCAGTCCCTACAATACAATAAATTATCTTAAAGATGTAGTTTCAAAAAAATGTTGGTTGTAGTTCATGTTTTTGTTTAAATAAAAATACAAAAGAGATAAACACCTAAGTGTAGACTCAAACGTGAGACAAACTTTTATTAACTTAAAAGTTAAATAAATATGACAGTAAAACTTTATTAACAAAAATTTTAGTCGAGTAGATTTGAAATACACTGTATGAAACAAATATTTATTTTTCGCGATTTGACTAGGAACTCAGAATAAACAGTGTTCATATTAATGGGAACTACAATAACAATGTCACCCTGTATAGACATACAATAGCATACAATTTATAATTACTTTTTTTATGTAAATTTGCAGCTTTTACCGTAGTTTTGAACCTTTAGATGGTCAAAGCATAGTGGCGTATTTTAATACACCCACATACCTTAATGACTTTTTTCTAAATATTTTATTATATTTTTCAAAAGTAAGGGCCCGAAACAAAACAGTTCATTATTTGAGTAATTAATGACAGCTATACTCATACTATGTAAATTTTATTGAAAATAAGACACTGAGCCTTACATTGGAAAAAAATAGAACTAATTACAGCAGTAAAAATAGTTTTCTTGTTCGAGGGGTGCGAGCCTGGCGACCCGTAACATAGGCTTTTCAAACCTACCACGGGCGCCAGTCACTTTCTTAAATTGTACCAATATATAACAAAATCTTAACATGTCCCATTTTAATTAGCTCCTAAGCTGCTATTGAGGGTGAAAATAAATGAAAAAAAGGTTAAAATAATCACATAACAACATCGGGTTGGTATACGAATCTAAAACGCCACTGATTTGTAGATAGCTACTATTTGACAAATGATATGAATTATTTATGTTTTTAGATTCATAAATAGCATAGATACAGAAAATATGTGTGTAAATTAGTTTGATATTGATGTAATTTTCTGTAATAACTCTGATAAGATTTCGTAATACATGTACTTTGACAAGATTGATTAAGATAGATTAATGTCAAATAATAAGCTAAAGTGAAAATTTAAGGTGTGTGTCTTGGTCACACTTTCATACACAAGATTTTGAATAACTTTGCCCAAAACATTACCATTTATACTAAAATACTATAATGTGCCGTTGAATAAAAATGCAATGTTTAAGCTTTCGAATAAAAGGCAACACTGCAATCCACACGCAAAATAAGCGTTTAAATTTATCAAAAAGATGTTACCTAAAAAGAAATATTGAGTCCAAATATTAATGCAAAAAATTATTTACGTTTTCACAATTTTAAGTCAAGGATTGTTTGACCATTTTAGTGCTTCAGTGGATTATTTACTGGATCCATTCATGCAAAAATATTGCATAAACACAGAACCGTTGCATACCACCTTAATGAGTAACGTTTTCTGTGATAAAACATTGATATCAGAAGTCAACACAAGCACTACATTGCAATTTTTCAATGTTAATTTCTCTGTTTACATAAGTAAGTAAGTATTTTAAATGTAAACAAGTTCTTAGGTTTTCACATTTGCTACACATTGACCAATTCTTTCAATTCTTTTTCCAGCTCATTCCAGTTCCCATAGCCACGGCTGACTACGGGACCTGCGAAGAGACTTAAACTTTGGTTTGTTTGAAACAAGTACTAGCGAATAAATCCGAAAAAAATTCAAGTAGTTTCATTTCCAATATACATATGACATTTCTTCTTTGTTTAATTATTATAATAAATAAATAAAAGTTAAATCAAATTAAATGTAAATAAGTAGGAAAATTGCAAATATAAATAAATTTAAATACCTTTGCTTTATTGATTGAGTATAAAATACATAATACACTAAAGGTGCATGAAATTCAAAGCCATAACCATATCAACAGGTATAATCACAGACCAGACAACCAACTGATCTTGAAATTGATATCTTGACAATTTTGATCGATGATTTTCGGCAGGGGGACGGGCTGACTTACCGCGTCATTCTGACATTTGATTGGTCAGTTATCAGTAGGTATCAGTTACCTGGTCTGTGGGTACAATCGATGCCCCATGATACCTGACCCCTTAACCGACAAGTTGGTTTGAGTAATCAGTGTGAAGAAAATTATTAAACAAACTTAACCTTTAACCAGTGAGCCGTAAAATTCATTTTGGATGACTTCCTTATTGCATTATTAGAGAATGACGTTTCAAGAAACTTTCCAATTTTATCTTTAATTACATTACCTAAATACGAATTTCAACCAAAAAACTGAAATACCTTTAAACTTTTCTGATGAATGATTATAAAGGCTCTCAGAACCAAAAGGTCGACTAGGGGAATCAGGTATCTTAGGGCATCAACTGTACCGAGAAACCATAAAGTACGATTGCAGTTACATCTACAGTTTCACAATAATTAGCATTAATACTGCAGCATACAATACAAAATAAATAAGATGAACAGTAAAATATGCACTCCTCAGTGTTTTGCTTATCACAACACGAAAAAAAGAATAATTATTATTATGGAGGTGAAACATGAGCATTATTAGCACAATATACAAGTAATTTAAGAGAATACAAGAAATTAATAGCTCTTAATAACATACCTTAATTGCGGGAATATGTCCCGAAGATACATTGTATGCCTGGCTTTGGGTTTGTTGGCTATTTGGACGGTACCCCTGGTACTGGTTAGCAGACGGATACCCTTGGCTAGACTGTGGGTACCCTTGGTTAGACTGCGAGTACCCTTGACTTTGCTGTGGGTACCCTGACTGAGGGTACCCTGTTTGAGCAGGTTGAGAATAACTTTGAGCAGGATTTGATTGTGGATACCCTTGAGCACTAGTGGGCTGAGGATACCCTGTTGGTGGATACCCTGGGCTAGGTTGGGGGTATCCTGAGCTAGATTGAGGGTACCCTGAGCCAGGTTGAGGGTACCCTGAGCTTGGCTGAGGGTAACCTGTTGGTGTATTGGCCTGAGGGTAACCTGGCTGTGGGTAACCTGAAGTATTAGGGTAACCTGGTTGAGCTGTTGGATAACCCATTGTAGGGAAGCCAGGCATAGGCATAGGATTTCCAAATGTTTGTGGGGCCGAGTTGCTAAATCCAACATTGTGTAGGTATTGTTGTCTTGGATATCCTGATTGACCCTTGAAATGAAATGAAATATGTCAATATGGTGACATCTATTATAAGTACACATTTAGTAGCCCTTTGGATTTTAATAAGGCCTAAATTGAATCATTGCTTCCAACGAAATGTTTTGAACCACAAAGATAAAAAATGCCTGTAATGTGACTAACTAATGTGTATTAAATAATGTGTTTGTATATAACCATACAATTTGAAAGTAATCTGGACTTTCAGTGTGTAATGTCAAAATCTCTACATTTACAAACTTCATAAATTTAAACAGATTATACGTTAAATTTAAACAGCTATATAAAAATAGCTTTCAAATATTTAAGTATTTGATAGTTTGGAATTTTTATTTTGGATTGTAACTATTTTCTTGGATCTAAAATCGAATATATTTGTTGTTAAAAACAAAACAAAATTCTCAGCTCATTCCTGGTCAGTTAGCTGTGACTGTGAGACTTGTAAAAAGCCCGAAACATTGGTTTGTTTGAAAAAACAAATATTTACACAATTTTAACTCAAAATAATACTTTCAATTTCAATTTGTGGTAATTGCAAAAGCTTAATAAATCAATATTTGAATAGTGTTTTGATTGTCAGGACGACTTTCAAAGTTACACAGTTAGGCTCCCAATTACAGAGTGATTTTGACATATATCACACTAAATTTTGGTCACTAAAAGTATACATACTTTTGGTGACCAAAACCAGACCAGACCAGACCTATTTATGTAAAATATGTATGGTATTTCGACGTTTTCAAAACTTCAATTAGATACCTACTCAAAAATCTTTGAAACTACACTCCCGCCAAATTCGATGTAACTAACAAAACTTATGATTTTTAAGGTTTTCACCTACGAAAAAAAAAAACAGTGCCACAATTTCAAAATTTTTCCCTGAAATTTGATTAGGTCATTGATAAATACTAATCTAACAGTCATGTCTGTGAGGAATCTTGTTGAAAAAAAATTAACTCACTAGTAAGTGATTTGAAACGAATATGAAAATTACCAGTAATTAAAGTTTATAAAACTGACATGCCTAAGGGTTTTTGATTTGAAGGAAGAGATTGCAAACATAAATTCACTTGTGTAATAAGTCTAAATAAAAAACACCTACAAATCATAAATTATTTAAAACAATAACTGCTTTTAAATTTAGCCATATTATTGACCTTCGTATAATGACCCACAAAACTTAGTATGTTAGCATATTGGTAACTCCCAAAATATAAGAAATCTGCTTTAAATAAACAAAATGTGGTAAACAATATAAATATGATTTTATTATTACAAATCATAAGCAAATTGCTACAAAATCTAGCGATGTGAGTCAGTCAATATCAAAAACTTAAAACTTATTCGTAATTCACACATATCAATAATTCACACCCCTCGTGGAAGAATGGTATAAGTGGAATTACATCAAACATGTTTATTGCTCCATTAGATATAGAAAAATATAACCCACATCCTCTCCAATTGAAGATTAGATAAAAAAAAATATTACGTTTTTCTGTATCAGAAGGAGCAATAAACATGTTTGATGTAATTCCACTTATGCCATTCTTCCATGAGGGGTGCGAATTGTACTTTGCAAACTTTATGTTAATTGGCTATAGTCCATCTGTTTAGATACTTAAACAAATGTAAACAATCTTGAGATGTCTATTTAATGAAATATACATTTATAAAATGACTTTCCCTTACCTTCAAATACAAAATACAAATACTTAGCTTCATATGAAATTGCATGCCTATTTTTATACCTATTGATTTGTAAAGCATGTGTTTCAATAAAAAGATGTATCAAGATTGTTTACATTTAGTTAAGTACCTAAACAAATGGACTATAGGTAAGTATTACTTCTACATAGCCTGAATATCTAACTACTTAACTATCTAAATTCCAATTTTACAACAGGCTGTGGGCAGAGTTACCCTAAAATAAAGAGCATAGATAAAAAATATCCGTCACACGTCATTGGTCACTGGTCATTACCTAGCAACGTTTTGTTATTAATAATAATAATAATAATAATAATAATAATAATAATCTTTTAGGCCTTGGGAGAGGCGAGAGTTTAAAATAAATACGATAATAATAATAATATATGATTTATTTTCTCAAAAAACACAAAGGTATAACTTAAACATTATAACTAACAATTACACATATATTAAACATTCTACATTGAATTTGGCTAGAGTTTAGATAAAAGTGCAAATGAAAATGTGTTAAAAAATTGTTTAAGATCCTGGGTGTTGATTAAACAGTGCCTTAATGCAGCCTTTACTTCTGATAAGAAGGCCATAATGTACACAATGTAGGTAGGTAGGTACCTAATTCAATGTTATTGTGATAAACAAAACAAAGATGGGAGTTTAAAAGCAATCAAGAACCTGTTCGGATATCAGTGATTGTCAACTTTATAATATGCAGATCTACAAATATGGCCTAACCTTGATTTCATAGTAAACCTCTTGGAAAATACCAAAACTACATACGATTTTCGAACAAGGTTGATTTTGTGTATGGTGTACTTTTTGGCGTAGTGAGAGGGACTAACACTCACAATCGTGTGCATTTTGCCAACCACACATAAATTAGTTTCGGATGATTAAACTTAGGCAAACTTGTTTTCTGTTAACTAAAAATAATACTTAGGGACACCTTAAACATACATTCACAAAATCAAATTGAAAGTTAGGATATTATAATTTAAAACAGTAATACTTACTTGCTGGTACGGATTCATTTTGGATTTTTGGTTCAAGAACTCCTTTTCGAAACTAGAACACTTCAGAGCAACACACGACGACGCTCACTTCGTAGACTGTTTTACGGCAAACTGATTAACAAAGTAACGATAGATGAGTAATTATTCCACAACGCCTGTGACGATGATATCTATGACAAGACAATGGGACGTATGTACGTACTAATAATAATGACTCCGTTTGTTACGTAGGTAGTACACTGGGAAACTCAATTCTAATTTACATAAACTATAACATAACGTATCTTTCATACAGTCCACAGATAACTGTAGACATACAGTCGTCACATGCGTTAGCATCTAATAGTCTGTGGTCGTCACCAAATATTATAGTTTTGGCTTGGATACAAGTCCTTTGAGCCATGTCTTCGTTTAATTATCGGGATCCTCAGAAATATTTGCCATTGTAGTTCCAAATTCTAATACATTATGTTTTCACTTTCTCTCAAATAACTTAGGTCACTTATTTGGGTTTATTAAGTCAATGGGTTTATTAAATAGTCTTTTAAGCGGCGGAAGTTAATATTTGTTTTGCTTTCACTTAAATCACATTGTCTTCTATCTCTTTGAACAATAACTTTGAATTCGTAATTAGTGGAATTTTCAGAATAAAGTCTTTTGTAATTTGGTATAAAATACGGAGTATAGTTCTAACTTTCTTCATCACTATTTCTTTCTTCGTTTTTTCTTCTTAAAATACTTAATATAAAAATAATCTTTGTAAAAACTGTACTCGTAACTTCAAAAACCCGCCATTTTTTTAGTTTTCCAATTTGACACTTGTCATCGTGACGCGAATAGGGATGTGGAATAATAATATTGATAATCACATTATACGATTTTGACGAGAAAACGATTCAATATTTTAAGAATTTGTGATTGTTTAGATTATTTTTCGGTTCCTTGTTGTTCGGGGGGCCTAAAAGGGTACGGTTCCTAATATATAACAACAAATGACATATTTTTAGTTGATATAACGCTCAATACAATTTATGGTATACATACATTTGACATATTCTTGAATGATATAAAGATCACTGGGTATAATAGACGATTGATATAACAATTTTCAATCCAATAGACCGATAGCTTAATGTTCATTTTATATAAACATTTCAGATATAACATTCACTGAGTATAATGTATTATTAACATAATTCCAGTGGTGTTTAGGAGCAATAGTGAATGAACCGAATTTGTTTGCATTTCTTAGTTGGTTCGTGGGTTTAGGTTAGGTTAGTATATGACAAAGTTGCATGAGTCAAGCGAGTGTAGCGTGCGTGACACGGCAGCGGCCGGCAAGTGCCAGAACCGAATTTGTTTGCATTTCCTAGTTGGTTCGACCTCAGTTAGGTAAGTATATGCAATTAAATATTCTGCTTAGAGTTTTAATAAATATAAAAATAAATAATAATAATTATATATATATATATATTATATATATATATATATATATATATATAATATATTTTGCGATTGTACATTTAATTTTAATGAAATAAAAAACTTCTTATCAACATAATATTGATTAACTTATGTAATAATGTTATGGAAGAGAGGGGTTTCCTGGCACAGACATTATATGCCTAAAAGGAGACTCTTCCCACTAGAAAGTAGACTAAAGCGTGTTAAGATAATAAATTATTATTATTATTATTATTAATATAGGGCACTTCAACTAATCGTAAAACGAAATATTGTGTTATATCATTTAATACATTATACTGGTAGTACTTATACCATTTGTTCATTATGTCACCATTATATATAATGTTTGTTATACTGAAAGTTTTTTATACACATTGAAATTATGTCTTTTGTTGTTATACCTTTTGTTGATTATAAAAAGTGAGTTATTATATCCTTAGAAATAATACCCAATGTTGTTATACAAAGTGAAAAAAGATAATTTGTTGTTATATCTTCCATTACACAACAGGCCTAAAATCCAATTCTTTTAATTTTGATTTTGTAATGTTCTATGGTTTATTACGAGAATTTAGTGTAAATAAGTATGTTCATCGATAAAAAAAAAACAAGATTAAATAACCAAGAAACCAAGAACTTCATAAATTTCCAATTATGCGACTGACTATAAGTTAGAAGTAGTCAATGTCAACAACAAACAATCTCAAATAATCAAAAATCAAAAGTTCGAATCCGACCGGATCGAAGGAATTTTTTCTGAGTGTTTTTTCTGAGTGTTCGATCTTTGTATTAATAATTATAACAAACTAGTGGAGTAATTTCACAAAAAATAATTGAATATCAATTCAATAAAAATTTAATTAATCTCAAACAATGGTCATATTTTTTTTAAATATTTTTTTAAAATATTACAAAGTGACTCGGTGAAATTCGACGATTAAATGCTTACAACACTATTATTAAAAAAAAAATAGCTTGAGGACGTAACTGTATTCAGGACGTTTCAGGGTAACTCAAAATTGCATTTTATTATGGAGTTCGTGCGAAAACAGTACTTCAAATTTGTTTTGTCATATTATATAATGTTTCAATAAAATTTATGTATTTTTTTAAAACTCAATTACACTAATAATTGTTTGTTTATTGTTTCGTTGATCGCATTCAAAGTTACATACTATCGTCTTCTTTAACTGTCAAATTTGGCCTCTTATTTGGTGGCGACTATAGTTTGTGGACATGACTCACTAACTCAGTCAAAGACTACTTTGTGACAATGACAGCCAATGACTTTTTCAGTGCCAACTAGACATGTCAAAGAGTCGAACGATCCGACTCCGCAAACGGCGAGCGGATTTGATTCCTTTACTGAATCCGACGCAATATTATCGATTCCACGGAGTTATTAACTCCGAGACCAGGGTCAGTTGGTAACAATACAATGTTGACACAGAGGTCGGTATTCAATTCAGATTTCAACACTGTTCGGTTGAAATTAGGTGTCCACAAAATCAATTTTAGACCTATAGGCGCCCGGGGCCTTGCGTTTAGATTGACAGTCCTAGCCTATAAAGTATAAAGGGAAATCAATCGACTATGTACACTTATTGTTTTATAATTCGAACATAATGTTAGTTTCAATATAATTTAATTATACGTATGACGACTTAATTGTATGTAAGTACTGAAGTTTTGATTGAGATACAATAATTAGTCAGAATATTGAACAGAATTTCTTTTTTAATATTGTTAGATAATTTAATATCATTTATATTATTAATTTCTTAAGTATGGCGAGAATGCAAATCAACACACCATATAAAAGCAATAAATCGCACCAACATAAGGTTAACTAAAATGCCTATGGTAAATATTTTCGATTTATAAAATAATATCCTTAAACGCAGTCGAACGTCGATCATCAATCCGTGGGTTTTGAATTTATGATCAGTATGAAAGTTTGCGACTAAATGGTAAGTCGGTACCGATAACGGAATCGGTTTCATTAAGAGAAGTCGGTACTGACAGCGGAATCGAATTCAGTGATTCGAATCACTTCTCGGAGTCGAGATTACCATGCCTAGTATGTACCAACATCACACGTGATGTGATATACTGTTAGGCCCTCGATGACGTGCAGAATACCTAATACCTACGTAGCGTGGGAAAAGTATGCTGTGAAGACTACCTGTCAACCCGGTGTTGCCAAATTAATTTTACCATAGACATGGTTGTGTCAACTTGCCTGACCCCACCCCTATAAATACCTACTAATAATGACCTTTACGTTTAATGTTTTGAATGAATACAAAAATTGTCTCGAAATATTTATTATTGTCATAATCGTGAAGCGACGTGACGATTGTCCTTTTTTTGTCTAAAACGCTTGGCCACAATGTCACCCAGATCAAAAATATTGTTGTTTTACATAACTTAATTCGACCCTTGCATTTAAAACGATCAATAATAATCATATAATAATAATGTTTTCGCGGGGTAACATGACACGTCCCTACTGGACTTCAGTTTTAAATTAGTATTTATATGGCTTGGACTAGATGGTATTTATCAATTAAATTTACTTATTTTCTTTTAAGGTTATTATTATTACACAATGTGAATTTTAGCATTTGTAGACTTTTTTATAAAATAAAAGTAGGTAACATTAAATTTAAGCTTTTTTATTTCTTTCAGTAATGTTTTTCGCTGGTTTAGTGTTCTATTACCACAAACCAAGCGTTTCTTGATTGCTTTGTTTTAATACCTTTATCAAGCCTGTTCCGTTTAATCTAAGCTGGAAGGAAAATACAAAAGTAGATTATGCATAATTTTACACAGAATGACCTACATGATTCGGCCGTTATGCATTCTGCCCGTATATCGTAATGGTATATCCAGATTTAATTCCTGACTGAACATTTATCTGAAAAAAAAAAATTTTCGCTTATTTTTCTTTATTCTGTATGTACGAAAAAAGGCACGTCTCTTTTGGCGCATGAGTTTCACATCCACTTCTCAATGGAAGATGACATCTCTTCCCAGCAAGCGAGAGGGGGTTCTTCCCTCGGACCACTTACCGTCGGTGTTGCGGAAGAATGAGTATGAGCCCCCGTGAGCAGTGGCGGATTTGCAGTCTTGGTCGCCCTAGGCTCCAGGCCATATAGTCAGTATCAGCATCCGTTCAGTAGTTTTGCGATCAGACAGACAGACAGACGTCAAACACTCAAACAAACCCTTTTTTAGGTTCAAGAGTGCCAAGTACCTAGATTATGGTAATATGAGTAAATAAATACTTAAAAAAAAAATAAACGTAGTGATGTAGTATGTTATTTTATACATAAAATGTACGAAAGTGATTTAGGAAGATTATTGTTATACGATGTGGTGCAGTGCGGCCCGCCATAGTGTGCAATGAGACTGTAGAATGTTTAGGTACTTTGAGTTATTTCTTGTTATCATCAGTGAATTTTTTATCACGATTGGCTGCCCCTAAAATCTGGCCGCCCTAGGCCCGGGCCTACTGGGCCTTAGGGCAAATTCGCCACTGCCCGTGAGTAGTGATAGAAGTTCATCATAACGCCGGGAAGAGGCGAAGGGTAACCATCAGGATTGTTAGAACTGCGATCATAATGGTGAAAGAGCCTAATGAGGGAAGCAAGTGTGCTGCGGTAGTAGGCGTGCCGGCAAGGCGCCTATTCTTTTCGTTGTGCAATCTGTATTTTTAATTATTTATTCGCTAACTACGTATGATTGCTAATTTGTTTGCTTAGGCGCTTTTAACTACTATAACGACACAATATATTTTAATAAAAATAATAATAATATTTATTCAGTGAAAAATGTTGGTGCATCATTACAGTAATAAGCTAAAGAATTTAAATACAATAGGCTGCGGAATGTACTCTTCTAATAGACGAAGCCACTACAGTCTAATTAGGATGTCCTGTATCTCAACATGTAGTGCCTTTTGGTGAAAACAATCTATAAGTCATTTGTAGTGGGAAAGTGATCAACATTTCAATGAGTTTTTACATTCTTAACTTTTTTGTGATTCAATGATTAATTTCGGAAAAGAAAATAATTTTATTTGACATGGTATAAGTTTGTATACTATAATACTGTATATAAAATTTATACATAATTCATTAAATTAGTTAATCATTATACGTAATGTTTGATAAACTGAAAGTTTATTTGTTTATTAGTTATTTCGAAGCAGTAGAGCTCCTTTTGAAACAATTCGTCCAGGGAAGTACCTTGCCTATTCTACCTCCAATAAGTAATATGAGCATTATTGCGTTCCGGTTTGGAAGGCACAGTGGCAGCGCCCCTAAAATCTTTGCGATTTAAAGCTCTGAGTGGCACTGCAACTGTTATGGATAGGCGTGTCACTTACCACCAGGCGCACGACTTGTTCGTCCCGTCACTTGGTATTATATATAAAAAAGAAATTAAACACAATCAATAATTAATAATACTTTGTTGTAGGTACCCCGTATTAATTTTGAAATTAGAGTGATTATAATTTTCTATTTAAATTTTTTATTTTATATTAAATATAAAATAAACTCATATTTTATTGCTCTCAGCAGCTCTAGGCAAACAACCATTCATCTAACATCTCTTAGCTTCTTAAAGCCTTGGTACATGGATTTAATGATGGTTCGTCGTATTGCTAAACGCCTTTACTGAATTCTAGTTTTGAATTATTTCTTTACTCATTAGGTCTTTTGTTTTTGTAACTGTAGGCACTTCATAAAATACCGACTAGGTACTGACTCTTTTCTTACTTATTCTGTAATGTTAGTTCCGCATATTTTGCACTTTAGAGACGATAAGTGCGTTATTTTACGAGACGGCTTACTCTTTTGTCCTATTGTACTCGAAAAATAAAGAGAAGACGAATCGGTGGAAATAATAATTCATCAACTATACAAATTGTCATCAAGTGTTGCGTTTTGTATTTAATAAGATTAGCTTTAGTATTTACTTATCACTTACCTAACGGCATTTTTCTTCGTTGTCTTCGTTGTTTTCACTGTACATGTACTGTAGTTTCGTCTATTGACCTATAAATATAGATAAAACGAAACCCAGTTAATATGCGTCTATACAATGCATCTGTCTCTGTCGTTATCGGCAAGAAAAAGTAACGACGTGTTACTTTTAGTTCATGTTTTGCTTGAATACCGCTTCGTAAATATCAAGTTCATGTCATCAAATGAGACATAATATAAATATATAATATAATTATTTAGGTGTGCATGCTACATCCTCGACCTCATCGTCACTTCCCATCAGATGAGATTGAGGTCAAATGCGCACTTATTTTTTATAAAAAAAAAAGCAGCTCACAAGGAACACCGTCAGGTTTTAGCAGCAGGAGTCAGATGTAAACCTTTGTGTCCCGCAGGGTATCTAATAGGAATTCCTGACAAAAAAGAAAAGTTTTCGACCTTTGTAGATCTATTTCGAACATGAGAAATTTAATAACGATTATGTTATTTATGCTTTGTAAATAAGCATAAATAACATAACCGTTAATAATGTAAGTTTGTAAACCTTATCTCCCACTTTTTTGTTATTATAAGCATTATATCTCAATAAGTAAAAAAACGTAATCTCTATTACAACCTCCGACAAAAGGTAAAACTTTTATAATTAGTGCACTTAACACTATGCAGGATGGTTCCGGGATATCCTATGTTTGGTTTCTGAGTCGCCACTTATATAACAGGTTTTACACAAATTACATAATGCGTCAAGGCCTTATAGTAACTACACATCAAGAACAAGTAGTTTGAGTTAGTTTAAACTATTCGCACGTACGAGCACGCTGTTCATTGTTGTTTTATTGTAAGTTATACTCGTACATTAGAGTTATAAACTTGTATCTGTGTTTAGAAAGTGTTTATGATTTCATGTAATGGTAAAAAAAGTTTTGACTACGCTGAAATCAATTTACAATAAGATTTCATAAAAATTCAATATTATTTAACATCAGTTTATAAACTTTAAACGCTGACTTATCTGCCGTTGCCTATACCTATTTTTATAATAATTAGGTACTTGAATTTATTGTACTTTGGTAGTATATATTTTTACTTTCATAGTACTTAACAAACACAATTATTATGTTGTACAATTACTTGACGACAGTCATATAACAATAAACTTTTTGATAAGCATTGTTCAGACGAAATCGTACAGCTCTCGCTAGCGGAAGTGTGTGTTACATATTTCAACATGTATGAAATTAAAGATAAAGTGATTTTGGTAACTGGAGGAGCTGCTGGAATTGGCGCTGGCGTGGTTAAGTCCTTTGCAGAAGAACGTGCAAAGGTAAGTGTTAAGGATTGTCTAGCAAATATTCTATACGGCTACTGCTTATACGAAAAAGTTTAGTTTTTCTGTGGAAAAAAATACTATTAAGTTTTTTAGACAACACAAGAAGCAGAGTTTGTAAAAAAATCATTCTTGTTGAACCAATCGGAAAGTTTAACAGGCTTTATGAAATCCTGAATTAAAAACTACCTTTTTTCCCAGCACGTGGCCATTATAGATGTCGACGTAACAAACGGCACGGCATTAGAAAAAGAATTAAACAACAAATACGGCTCTGACAAGACCAAGTTTTACAAGTGTGATGTTACTTCACAAGATCTTCATGATATCTACGATGAGATAGTAAAAAGTTACGGTTATATAGACGTCGTCATCAATAATGCTGGAATTATGAATGACAGTCCTAGACTTTACGAAAAAGAAATAGCCATTAATCTTGTAAGTACCTAATGAGACAGAAATAAATATTTATAGCGTTCATACAATACGATGTGCTCAATTCAATGTAACAAATACGAAATAGATCAAGATGGTACTGTGCACTTTGAACGCAGTCTTATCCAAAGTGATATAACCTTGAATTTTGAATCATAAATTGACATTGACGTGCTCTGTAAATAATCTAAACAATTGGGTACAACCCTGGTAAGTGTAAATTGGACTGGACGTAGTTAGTTTTTTATGTTAAATAAAAAGTCCAATTCCTGTAATGTAATATCATAAAAGGTATACTTGTCACTATAACTAAAAGTGGCCAGTTACGTGAAGTTAAAATTGGACTTATACGGGACATAAGTTTTAATTTTATAAGATTGTGAAATTGAAATCATTGGGGCAACATTACTTATTTTGGATTAAAATTGAATTGTTTAATATTTAAATATAGTTCCCATGACATAAAGATAGACCAAACATTGCTTTTCCTCTAACACGTGGAAATCATATTGTGATTATGTAGAATAATGCTGTTTTTCATCATTAGGTATCGTGTTCACATCATAATATTAATATCATTTGATTTTTTACTACAAGTACGCTCGAAATGACAAACTGGCCTTTGATATTAAATATTGCACGATGACCTTTTGTTAAAATAGTACATGTCAGATCGATGTTGATGCAAACACAGACTGGACTTGATAATCCTGACGGTCTATTCGAACTGGTAGGCAATAAAAAAGCGGGATACTATAGTGACTGAGATCCTTTGCCATAAAAAAATCACATTTTTGTTTGTTTTTTTTTGTCAACTCCCAAAATATCCCACTTAGGCCATAAACCGCGACCCTGACTGGCCTAATTCGGTTTGGGAACTCCACACGTTTCCCGAGGACTATGAACCTTCTTCGACATGCATTCACCGTCATTTACATTGGAGTTCTTCACAATGGCGGTTAATTAATAAACGATGTTTATTTTCAGACTGCGCTGGTAACAAGTTCTTTAAAGGCATTCAATCTAATGCGCAAAGATTACGGAGGTAAAGGAGGAACAATTGTAAATATATCTTCAATTGTTGCCTTGATTCCAGGAAGAGTACTGCCTATATATTCAGCTACTAAAAGTGCTGTCTTACAATTCAGCTATAGTCTCGGTGTAAGTTCTGCTGCAGTAGTTATGGTCGTTAACGCGTTCTAATGTGATTACCCATTTATTTTTCTTTAGTTCATAAATCATTACCTTGTTGTCAAAATATAGAAAACATATGTCGTAATAGTTTCTCACTCCTTCACTGTTCATGCGGTCAGACTTTGGAATGCACTTCCTATTACTGTTCACGAAAGTAAATCGTTAGCTATTTTTAAAGTGAGAGTTAAAGAGCATTATTTATCTACTATTCCATCCATATCTTAGGTATTGTATTATAAAATATGTATTTATCTAAGTATTTATATAATTTATAATAATTTAATATTTTTATATTATTTTTTTTTTCTTGTTTTGTTGTGCACATATGCCCGTTCTTTTAGTTATAGTGTCCTGTATTTAGGTCTGCAGGAAGAAATTTCTATTAGAAGTAAGCAGAACCGTTTGTTTTTAATTTCGCTTGTATTCTTTGTGACTTGTTGTATTTTTCCTGTACAATAAACTATTAAATAAATAGTTTCGATAATAAATAAAGTTGTATGAGGTATGAGACATTGTGACTGTAACGGACTTTATCAATGGATTCGGGTGGGTCCTATCACCGAGTGAGTAAGACCAAAGCAATTGTACTTACAGTTTATTAATTTATTACAAAACACGTATAGCTATGAATCCAAAAACATAAACAATGGTGAAGAAAAGGCGCCAAAAACAATCACATTTAAATTTAGAATTTAAATATAAAACTAAACTTAAAAAGACTAAACATAGGGCGCACTATAAGTTTCCGGATTGGCCACTTACATAAACAATATTTAAAAAGTAATTACAACTTTTGAAAATGGAACTCTTTAGCTGTAGAATACAGTTTGTTTCAGCTGATTGTCACTTGCTTTTACATTGTGGCGTCATTTTAGAAATTGGTTGTCTATATCACCATGACTTTCAAACTGCTTTTACACACGTATAAAATATAAACACGTATAAAATATATACTAAAGAGATTTGTATTGACTGCTGCGAGTCGCTACAGTGTCAATTTTATGATTATGAGAATAATAGGTATAATGCAATAAATATATAATATTGCATTGCCGTAGACCAATTAGCTTGTAGAAATACTTTCTTTTCTTAAATAAATTATTATTATCACTAGTACAATTTTTATAATTCGGTTCAAATTCTAATTCATTTATTTCTTTGTTTTACACGGGTTATAGAGAGATCTTACAAGAAGACATTCTAAATCTCTATGTTTCGCCTTGCGACGTACTAAGTTTTCGTAAATTTTATGTAGATGCTCATGCAATAAATATCAATTAAGTGTCTAGTTCAATAAAGACATGAATTAAAAATGTAATAATTCTCCGACACTTAGCAAGCTTGAGATCTTTAAACAGCTGTGTGTTATATTCCATTCCGATTAAACTAGCTTTGACATAGAAAGACGATGCCACAGATAGACATATTATAAACACACATAGACAAAGGATTCTAATAAATAACAAATAAAATGTCAATTTGTAAAGAAACTGTAGAAATATATCGCGGACAGGTTGTTGGTACCTCAATTAGAATAGTAATCGTAAAGGAAATGGAAAGGCATAATTATACAGTATATGCGGTACAAAAGAAGTGGTCGATGCAATATTTCAACAAGTTTTCGAAATAGGACTCGAACATTGCGCTGTAGTTGGTTTAAAAAATATGTTTACACCTACACTTAAAGAAAAAAGAAAGTACAAACATGATTCTTGACTCATTCATAACTTTGAAAAATAGAGTTCTTAAGGTTTTAGATTGTTCAAATTTAAATTTTGTTTTTCAAACCTACCAATGTTTCGAGCATTTAACAGGCCCTTGGTCATAACTTCCGTGCTGGTTTGGGATCCAGTATTTCCTTTTTCTGAAAAATCCCAAACAGACACAGAACGCAGTACTAATTAATGTTATAATTTATTCTAAATTCCATTATTAATTAATAATAAATTTAATTTAATAACAAGAAATCATACTGTTAAAATAAAATAATTGTGAAACATGTAGCGTAACTTGGAATGTTCCTTGTAAAATTGAAAAATAAGGTATTTAATTAATAATTTTTTGTAACTATAGTAAAAATAAGGACGTTTGCATTAATAGTAGACATAACTGGTTTATGACTACCACCTCAGTCAATCGTGACTACGGGACTAGTAAAGGGCCCAAAACGTTGGTTTGCTTGAAAAATAAAAATATGCGATTTAAATCCGGAAAAATAGTTTCATTTTCTATAAGATGATATCAGTCATCCAACAGTTGTCTGTATTAAAAAACAACACTGTATTCTGAATTTACAAATTTTGTTTCCAACATTTTCAGGACGAAATGCACTACAAACGATCGCAAGTTCGTGTGATCACAATGTGCTTTGGCTGTACGCATACTTCACTGTTTTCACCAGAAAAACTTGAGGCTTTTGACAAAGAAACAACTGATTATACAATGCGGGCCGTGAGTGGTGGTGGATCGCTTCCATTTCAAAAGTAAGTCATGAGATTTTAGACAAAAAGTAAAAAATTGTATAAACCTCATTAATCCAAACCAATGAAACTTCGTATATTAGAAGAAAAAGAGATTTTACTATAATAAATAATGTTATTGAAAGTATACCGCAACAAGGTAGGAAATCTGAAATATTCAAGGTGTAGACGTTGCTACATAAGAGCGCCTACGGGTTTATCCTAAATTGTAATCTATATGCGTAACTATTTCTTACACTCGTAATTTTTGTTAATATATTAACAGAAACTACGGGTGTAAGAAAAGAAAGATAAAAAAGCTTTGTTCGTATTGCTTGTAAAGTGATAGTTAAATTGTCAATTACACATGAGTTTCATGTGTTCTTTTTGTTCTTGGCGCGGAATGTGGTTTGATGTTAAACGTATTAACTTTACGACGATATAGATAAGAATAGATGTTATTTACAGCATCATTATAATATCGTGCAAAGCTAAGTATTACCAAACTAAAACAATGACAGCGAATGTGTAAGCGTCATTGTAGTAAATGTTATCTTTTGAGTTATTTATGTTCAGGGGTCGATTTAGAACCTTACGATAAGTCAGTTGTCGACCGCTTCGATTTGACATCGTACTATTTCTTTTTGTTTATATTCACAACACCCGAATCGTTGTTCGAATACGACAATACGACAGTTTGACGTTCGATTCGGGTGTTGCGAATAAAAATGAAAAGAAAACGGTCAACAACTGTGTTATCGTTAGTTTCTGAATCGAACCCCTGGACCTCGATTCAGAGCTGTTCAATATTTTAACCGAACCGTTCGTTTGCATAACGTTCTCGAATCGAAGGGCGCTTTCCGAGCTATTCAGAACATTCGAGTTAAACATTCGATGCGGATTCGGATACGATATCGTTATCCAACAGCGTTTACAGAGTTAGTCGGTGAAATAGATTATAAGAAAAATGAAAATCCTTTTATATACATTTTTAAGACTTTATATGCCTAAAATTTAAGAATGCATTAGTCTTGCTATAAAATTAATTAATAAAATTGAACAAAATCCAGACTTTATTTAAAATAATAAGAGATTTCCATATTACATTCTTACTTTGAAAACAATAGGACGTTCAGTAATATTCATTCGATAACTGTGTTCTGAATAACGTTTGTAGCCTTTGCCGGTCGAGAAGTTCGAGTAATCGTACGGGTGTGACGTCATTTCGGTTTGGTTTCGAATACGGCAGATTGACGTTCGATTCGGTTATTGTGAATAAAAATTACAAAAAAATCGTGCGATATCTCGAATCGGTCGACAACAGAATTATCGTAAGGTTCTGAATCGACCTGCAGGTTTGATTAATCATGCATATTTTGTAGAGCCAAAATGTGAATTTGAAATCTATCATTTTCATATGAATGATCGCCACTTGTCTAATAAAAACAGGTTTTAAAACCCGAAAGCCCAATTTAACATTTGAAGAATCAAATACCTTCCAAGCCGCTCTTGCCCGTGGGCCACCTGGCTCCTGGTGAACCAATTCACTCAGGTCTACCAACCCAATCTCAACTGTGTGAAGTGTCTTTTTATAAAATTTGCAGTAATTCTTTACAAGTATGTAATGTTATGCAAATGTATGTAATGTTACAATTATGTTGGTACTCCAAAAGTTACAGAATTCAATTTATTGTTTACGTTGTATGCTTTACAAAAGGACCAATCTTAGTTAGTATTAAGAAAAACGACCGACCCTTTTTTAGGTATGTTAGGCGATAAATTTGAGAACCGATTACCAGGATTCTTTTTTTGTTGGAAAGAGGGTACCTCAGTATTGGTGCCATTCAAATTTGAAGAAATTATTCTAACTCTAAGGGTGGAAAATTAGGGGATGAATCCGGTTTTTTTGGATTTCACCCACTTCCCATTAACTGATTTCAATAACACTTGGCAAATAGATGTAATTCCACAAATATGTTTACAAAAAAGTTATTCTATCGTAGTTTGCTTGTAGAAGATGAAATTTTAAACATTAAATTTTGCAGGCCAGAATCCGCAGTTCGAGGACTCGTAGAGGCCTTCAAGAAGGGAAAGCCCGGCAGCACTTGGTTGGTCTCAGCTGACAGACAGGCGGAAGATATTACAGCCAATATCAAAAAGTCCTTTGAAATCCTCAGTCAGGGAGTGTACACACCGAATACTAACTCGTAAAGCACTATAATATCTATACGTTTAGCGTCATTTCTTATCTAAATTACTATAATTATTTTTAAATTTATATTACTCGGAAATTGGTAGCTTTGTTTACAAAGCAACGATTTCCTCTAAAGTAAATAATAATGTAGTTCTAAATTACCCACGTAATGTTTTTGTTTTTTTTTTGTGTGTGAGCAATAAAGTAAAGTAAAACCTAGATAGGTTTTACTTTACTTTATTTTATTTATCTATTCCAAATATATAAAAAACTCTTTTTGCCATTTTTCGAGATACGGCGAGCTCGTTTTCCGTATACTCTAAATACAAAGATTTTTAAAAACCTGCTTGCCCCAAACGGAAATCAAACCGCTCATATGTAAAATAATCTTCCAGCTTGTATTTTATTATTCCGATCGAAAAGGACAAATCATAAGGACTGTAGGGTTAGTAAGAAAGGGCGCGACTAGCGCGAGAGCAACATACAGCGCGAGTTACCGCTATTCTTGTATAGAAATCCTGCATTTTATGTCGCTCTCCCGCAAGTCGCGCCCTATCGTGCTAGCCCTACTGATACCTTTAAAGCAACATTGTATTATAAATTAAAGAAACAACATGAAATTTTACATTTAAGTTTAGGAAAATGTATTGCGTGTTGTCAATATATGTACTTCAAGATGCGGGGGGAAGGGGCTCATAACAATTAGTCTGTAATAATGGTTACATTAAGCAAAATGTTCTATCTACAATAGTACCCAAATCATAAAACTTACCCTAGTTTTATGATTTGGGTACGTAATAACCATGTAATAACACAAATCAATTATATAGTATTTACGTGAATCTTAGAATGCCAGGCATCAAGGATATCTTTCCTTGATGCCTGGCATTCTAAGACCACGCAAATATCACGTTCAGTTCTGGCTCGAACCTACAAGATGTGTAATGGTCTCCTCCTGATTTTTTTTGGTTTTTGATTTTGTGATATGGAGTTCTTTAGGTCAACGGGGTTCTCAAACACAACAGTGTGGCTAATGTCCATGGGCAACGTTGACCACCTCATTCAAGGGGCTTGTCTGCTCTTTTGTTTAGAGTTCTTAAATGTTTGTTTGTTTTTTTCAATCAAACTAACGTTTAGGGCTCTTTACAGGACTCATGGTGACGGCTGACTGAGATAGTAAAGTCCTATATTAATAAATATCCGTGATATATGATATAAATCCGAAAAAATAGTTTCATTTCCTATGAGTAACAATCGCGAAACACTAAGAACTCAATGTCAGATAGTCCTATCTACTATTTACTTATTACCTATTTACTCTATGTAATTTATTTAACGTTCTAACTTGTTTGCAAAACAATTTAGAACTTGTCAGAATTACTTTTATCACAGATAACAATTAGTATTTAATTATTATATCCGACGGTAGTGGCGGGAAATGTTTCATGAAATATAATTATAATTCTTGTCGTTCATTGGCGTGGAACATTTGCATTTGCGCATAAGGTTGATTGTCGATGTTCCAAGGCGACAGACATGTAAAAACTATAGGTCAGCTGTTGTCAGATTGAAGGACCACGAAACCTTTTTTTTTCATGTTCTCTATTTTTGTTCTCTATGTACAGGCATTATATCGAGCCATTACTGTCGAGTTATGTAAGCGACAAAAACAAATTTTACAGGAGAGGGTTTTTAAAAATATTTCTACACATAAATGTTATTCACGGTATTATATATTAAAATTGAATTTTAATATACAGTTATGAATTTCGTAACCGATTGTGTAACAGCCAATTTTTTTTTTAAACTATGGATGTTATATTACATTATTTCAGAGACCGGGAAGTAAGGGATTGCTTGATGAGTATGAGTTACAAGGACGAGCACCAGCGAGGCCTTGTATTAATACGAGTCAAGCAATCCCCGTTCCCGCTGAGGCATGTATAGAATACTTCTCAAACAATGTGAGGAAATACTAAGAGACTAAAGAGATGAAGAAGTTTAATAAAAAAAGTAAAAAAAATACTGTCATATTTGACGTGTTACGACAATTGCTAAAAGAAAATGTTAATATTTTTCTAGGCACATGTATAGTAATCTGCTGAACTTCTGATTATATGTTTGAATACGCATCCATTACTGTATTTTCGTTCTCGCTCTCACTAGCGTTCATTTTCGCGACCAAAATACAAAAAAGATGAAAAAACACAAGATACCAAAATATTTTAGTCTATTTGTGTTACCGCCATTTTCTTTTTTTAAGTAAGCGGTGTAGGTAGATATTTTTAATTTTCGTAATTATAAACACTGGGCAGTTGGCTGTATGACTTTATCTTTTGTCTGTTTATAAAGTTCATTATTAGTAGGTAGATTTAAAAGTTTAGAGAAGTGGACAGTAATGGATTTTCATACTTACTTGCAGGCCTTGGCCGGTAAGAAGTCGCATGGTCCCTAAATGACAAACTTTCCGTGTTCGTTTTTTGAAAGCAATGATAACATTTCCGAGCATATTTAAAAAAAGGTTTTTTTTTCGCTTATAATATTTTTGCTATCTCTATCTAAAAATTGTTGAGGTATTCCGGCGTTTAAGGTGCGATTAAAAATATGCAACAAG